CATAGTGCATTGGTGGTGCATAATAAGAGTCCAGATTTATTGCTTTCTCTATGTATGTATGTATGTAAGTAGCCACCATCCTAGCTTGGGTCTTGCCCTGCATGCGGCTCCACTCAACAGCAAGATCAAATTCCGTCATCATTCTGAATTCAACATACTGCTGTATGAAGGGCCAAAAAGGGTTGGACAGGCCCGTAAGCAGAGGCACTTACGCGAAACCCGCGGGAATTAGAGAATCTCCTTCCAACAATATGATCCAACAAAATGAATAACGAAATTCGCAATACATGTTAAGCTTTCCACGGGATGGTTTGTTTAAGAAGAGCGCGTCAAATTCATTGCAACTGTTGGAGTGAAATGTAACTATCTAAAATGACAGTACACATCCCAAGCAACAATTTTTGTTTTATTTAAGTTTTATAGCAGTTGATATAACCAAATTATAAAACCTTCACTGACGACCACATTGCTTTAACAATCTCCTGAGAACCGCAATACAGCCATGTCATGGCCAATTGGCCCAGTTTTAATGCAGTCATTAAAACTTGATATGCGAACTACTTTAGGAGCATAGGATTTATGTCAGTTTTATCACACTCTAGACGTGATTGTTAAAAATGAAAACATAAAACCTCCTCCAGGTCAGAAAGTTTTAACAGCCTTCTAATGACTACCATAAAACTATATTACAACCGCATAAATCGCTCCTGAAGAAGTTGATAAAACATGATACGCAAAACATTTTGACAACTTTGAAGGTTTTAAGTTGGGGTTTTTGGATGATAGTTAATATTGAGAAATATTTTATTGTGGTTTTATTCTTTCGATGTTTGATGTGAAATCATGATCCTTGTCAGTTGGTAATAATGGCTGATATTATTGTACATTGAAAATAAGCCGACTTTATTATAATTTTAAACCAATCTGTATATGCTTCACAGCATGCCGTGCAATATTTATGGTGATTATTATACCAAATAGGAGCATAAATTTAGTGCGCCATATGAATACTAAAATATAGGGATATTTTTAATTTGTCTGCATTAGCACCATGCATTAAAGAGTCATTCAAAGATTATCTATTTAGTACAAAACTGTTACTACTGTTGAGCAATAACCAGTCACAAATTATTTAATTATACATAGATGTATGAAAGTGTTTTATTGCCTATCAATTAAAGCGTAATTATTCATACTGTGTGAAATTTGTTCATACGGCGACATTTTTTTTCGTTATAACTTGCTACTCCTTAAAAATACCTCAATATAACATATTCTCCTAGATTGAAATTTTATAGCATAACATAAACCTAATGGTTGTATCTTAGCATTTCGTAGTCCAAATTGAGAGCGTTAAGTTATATTTAAGCTATATAACTAGCTTGCTGGTTTTATTCGGTACAGCGAATCAAAACAAAACAAAAACCATGACCACCTGTCAAAAAGTCAACATTCCAAGCGATCCTCCTATTTTCGCTTGTAATCAAGATGTAAGAAATGCTTATTGGATCCACTAAAAGCTTTTTCAATATAAGGTTTAAAGCCGTGATGTCAATACTGGCCATCTCCAAACGGATTTAGTGAAACTGTCGGCGTTGCTTTAAGAAGGGTTCGTGGATCTTTAGGAAGTGTATCGGAAAGCCGCTTGTTCAATATTTTTAAGAGCTCCTTCACCGCACTGTGCCTTATGTAGGGATCGTATAACTGTAGTTCCTCCAGGAGTTTCATATTGTCGATCGTCTCATCTTCATCGTGTTCAGAAGCACTGAACGGGTTTTCATTTCATATATCTGAATAGATTTGTTTTTTATAATGACAAAAAATTTCAGAGTATTTTTTGTTGTAGCAGTATATTTCTTATCTGTGAATCTTAGGCCTCTGATAAAGATGATAGTTGTAATGAAGCTTTAATGAAGGTCTAAGACTGCTTCAAGTTTTATATCGGTCATAAAAAGTGTACCATAAAACATAATTGTATGTTTTGTTTTGGTTTTATTCTTCAGTTATAAGTAGTGATGCAGAACCACCTTACAGCTACCGTTAAAACTATGAAGTCTGAGTTTTAATTTAGTAGTCATAAAACAGTTTTATAGACGACTTGACGGCCTGATTTTATGACAAGCACACAAAACCGTAATACAACCACAGGCTGGAAGGGATGCTATGATAAAACAATGATAAAATAAGAATAAATCTTCCAAGCATTTAGATTGTTACTTGGGATTCCCTCCTAGACTCCGGTTGGCACTCCACTCCATTGTCCAGTTACAACTTCAATGATGCCCTGATGCTCCCTCCCCTCCCAGTATTTATTGGAATTTACATTATGAATTTATATATAATCATGTAATATATAATGAATATAAAATATGTAGTAAAATGAAAAATATAATAAAAAATAAAGATGTTTTACAAAATACAAATAACCTAGATTATTGGGTCCTATACACACACTTTTTGTTTTATGTGCCATGAAATGACATAATGCATCATTGTATGTTTTGAAAATATGATACTAAAGTATTGAATCAATAGACCGAAAATCGAGGTTATTTGGACATGAGACATTATATATAAAATGATACTACCAAACTGACCATTAAACGCACTGCCCACAAGAGCAGACACGTCCCTTCGAAAATGTAATCGAGAAATGTACACGAACAATCCTCAACTGGAACGTACTCACCAAATCAATATATCCCGGAGCGCATTCCCGATGTCGTCAAACGGCAAAAAAAAGGGAACTCGGTGAGAAAATTTGTGATACGGAGTTTTCACTGAAAACAACCGCGAATTTCACCACCCAACTGCGAAACACGTTCAGAAGCACTTTTGGTACACTCTCAATATCAATTTCTTTCGAAAAAACTAATTTTTTTTTTGTAAAAATAGTTGCAAGTGAACCAACATCAACACCGATCGTGCCAAGCTCTTTCACGCACCTTGCAGCGCGTACATAAACTGAAATGAAACATTATCACTCGCGATGCCACAAATATCTCTAACTAAAAAAATAAAACTTCCCATATTTCAAAGAAAGATAAATGAGCTATGAACAATAAGTTTCAAGCTCGAAAATTGAAAAAAAAAATAATTCGGGTTTGCATGACATTTCAGGGGCCAGAGTTCCAGATTTTTAAGCTATATAGAATGTTGAAAAAAATTTCACAAGTCCAGTTTCTAGAATAATTCTCGTAGTTTGAAAACACATTATGTCAAAAATCCGAAAAAATTGAAAATATTTCGTCGGCCGTGATCTCCAAATATTTTCAAAATACCAGATCTTTCAAATACTCCTATGTTTTATTTTTAAAACACTACGAATAATAAAAGAACAACTGATGCCAAAACTGGCGCTGGAACTAGGGGTTTACAATCAATTATTAAGACCAAAGACGATGTAAATAATGCTCTTGAATCTCTGAATACTTCTATAGTTGAAGTCAGAGCTGCCTAAGTAGCAAAATGCGAGGTTAAATTCGTTTTAATTATAATACACGACGATCTTAAGCTCTTGATCCGCCAAACAAGTTTGGCCCCAGGAGAAAAGCAATTCAAAGGGTTCAGAACAAAGTTCAGAAGATGATTATGAAGCTGTCTCGGTGGTACAATACAACCGAGGTACACATAATTTCGAATGTTGAAACTTTAGAACAAATTTCCAACAAAATAATTAACAATTTCAGACAAAAATCGTTGTAATCCCCAATTGAATCCCATTATATTTAGATAATATTTAGTTTTAAGGTGACAATTGTTATAATGACATGCAGGTATAGAACACTTGTTTAAAATACTGAATTGTCAAAGCAAAAACAATGTTAAGAGACTTAGGTATAGATCAAAACAATTAAGGCTGGTAAGTTATTGTTAGTAGCTGAGGCACTTAAATTAAAATGAAAAATTTTAATTTTGGAACAAATAAAGAGTTTAAAAAACTAAATCATTTGATAGAGCAAACTTTCTCTACCAGATGCTGGTGTCGGTTTATCTGAGTGAGTCGTTATCCGAGAGAAATCAACATTTTAAGTCATTGTTTACATTCGGCGCATGATCCTTTTCACATGTTACTAGCTCTATAGAATCATCAAATTTGAAACAACACTGCATACCAGCCTTCCATCAGTGCTACTCTTGAGTCCCCAAACAAAACAGTACATGACTTTTCTCCACCGAGCGAATGCGCACCATCGTTTGATCGCTGACAAATTGAAAAGTATGATTTATCACAAGAGGGAAAAAATAAAAGGCCCCAGCGACTGGATAAACGTATGGTCAAGTGAAAAGTAAAAAAAAAAAGAAACCGAAACCGTCGTCGTTGACGGTCACCCAATACTAAAACAACATTTGCCTATACAACTCAATTGGACCAGAAAGTGCTCTACTTCTGGTTTTTCGCTTTGGGGCGACCGACCGAACCCCGTTAATCCCATCGATGGACGAACATACGTACAGAATGTCCTACTGTTGAGGATTTGGATTCGTTCGTGGAGGTGGAGCGCATGCATCGGTGGTGTTTGTGCGCGCTTGTGACAGATTACAAAATGTTACAAAAGTGCAGTTCAACACTAAATGCGTCATCGTCCTGCGCCGCTCGCTCGCGTCGCGTTTCACCCCGAAAATCGTTTTCTGATCGTGGTGCGGAGGTCGTCGTCGTCGTCGTCGTTCGGAGAACTTATCGGTGCGTCTCGATCTTGTGAGATGCATGTAAGTGAGGCGCTCAACCAGCGGACACGTGTGAAAGAGAGCCGACGCCGCTGTAGAAGGAAAACACGTTGAACTTGCAACAAAGTGGGAGAACTATTCGCGCATTGACTCCGCCGAGATTGGTTCTATATGCGTTACGGTTTCTGTTTTGTTGTTGTCCAAGGCGTCGGGTGGGGTGAATTCTCTCCTTTTGATAAAGTTGACTTCGTCGTCGTTGGGGTTTTTTTTTTATACATCAACGACGTGCAACTTTTTCACGCACCACGCTGTGACAACAGCATTTCTGAGGTATATAAAGTGCGTAAGCTAGCCCAGAATGGTATCAAAGTTTAGTTAACCAGCAACGTTTCAACACGGTTCCCATCCTTGCCAGTATCAGTCCTTCCGCAGAGTGTTGTTCAACTCAGAACATAATTGCCGAAAATGTTGTCTAAGGTGAGGTGATTGCTAGTGATATGGGAAATAAGTGTTCATTCGAGGGGCTCCGTCAGACAGTGAGGAATTGTTCAACTGCAAGTGAAAAACGAAGCCTGGCTTTGTAGTGTTTTGAGTGAGACCATCCGAATGCTGTTTGTCACCAGTAGAAGTTTGAACTGAGAACAAGTTTTCAGTTGTTGAATATGGTATTAGTGAGGTTATATGTGAAATGATTTGGAAAACTAATAATGTGAAAGTTTTAACAAAGTTTTCATTTTACGTAAAATTTGAACATTTTTGTAGTTTAATGTTCACATGAATTTAAAGTGGTTTGTGCAAAGTCAGTTTTAAACCGAATAAGTTAAAATTTTGGGAGGATTAACATAAAATACAAAATTTAAATAACTATAGTTCCATAATTACTTTTCGTGGAAAAACTTTTGAAAGAATTTGCAATTTTAAGTAAAAACAAGTGCTTTTTTCGTGTTGGGTATATTCACCACTGCGACCCAGTGCTGTGGTTGTGGTTAGTCGCGGGTAGTCGACGACTACTCAGCTCCAAACCGACAAAAAAAGTTTACAAAATAGGTAAAATACAGCAATCCAATCCAGTAACTAGCGTCTCTGATATACATGTTCAGGTGGATATTGAAAAATCGGTAAATTTGAAATGGCAAGCGCCCCTGGTAGACAAGTTCAGGGAAAAATTATCAAAATCGTAAAATTTTAAATGGCTTGCGCTTCTTACAAACACATTCAGGGAAAAATGGAAAACAATGTTCAATTTGAAATGGCTACGCCCTTGAAAAAAAAAATTAAAAAGGTTATATTTAAATAGCTTGCGCCTCTGGTACGCATATTTAAAATGCTTAAAACCGTTCAATTTGAAGTAGCTAGCACCCCTGATATACATGCACAGGAAAAAAATAAAAAAAATTTTGAATCTAGGAAAATCTGACAAAATACGAAATTTTAAATGGTTAGCGATTTGTGGTAAAAGTTGAATGAAAATGCTAAATTTAAAATGGTTTGCGCCCCTGACAAACCTAATCAGAGAAAAATTGAAAAATTAATGTGAAGTGTATATACATATTGAGGGATACAATAAAAGAAGAATTCTAGATAGAGCTGGAATTAGGGCGTAACAGCTTTGGTAAACAATGACTTCTCTCGATGATTTCTAGAAATCAAAGGCTCGCCCACTCAAATCAACGTTATGTTGGTTGGCGTGGGGATGCCTTGAGTTTCGAGAAATCATCGAGAGAAGTCATTGTTTACAAAAGCTGTTACGCCCTAATTCCAGCTCTATCAAGAAATATGCATTTTAAACGGCTTGTACCCTTAATAAACATGTTACGAAAAATTGAAAAAAAAAGTTGTATACTAGCACTGAACTGTTAAAAACGGTGCAAATCTTTATTGGCAGAAAAAAATTGGTGCTACTTAGTGGCGTAAAATAGATATTTTTACATGATAATGCTTTCCAAATTATTTTACGGTGAGGTTTGAGAGAAAAGTATGGAATCATATCAAAAAAGCTAGAAATCACTTCGAAAAGTACTGAATCGCTTCAATACAGTTTGGAATCACTTCGGAATGCACTGAATTACTTGAGAAAATAATGGAATCACTTCATAAAAGTTAGAAATTACTTCAGAATGTTCTGAACCACTTCAGAAAAGTTTGGACTCACTGTGTAAAGTGCAGAATCGCTTCAGAAATGTTTTCAATCACTTCATAAATTACTGAATCACTTCGGAATGTATTGTATCACTTTAGAAATGTTCAGAATCACTTCTGAATCGATTCAGAACAGTTTGGAATCACTTCAGAAAGTACTGAATAACGCCAGAAATCATAGGAAACACTTCAGAAATGTTCTAAATCACTTTAGAAAATACTGAATAGATATGCTAGGAATGCTCGGAATCACTTACTGAAGTGTACTGAATCATTTCAGAAAATACTGAATCACTTAAAAATTCGGAATCGCACCAGAAAGTACTGAATCACTTCAGGAATGTGTGGAATCACTCCGAAAAGTACTGAATCATTCCAGATAGTTTGTAATCAGTTCCGTACTGAATACTTCGGAAGGAACTGAATCACTTTTGAAAAGTTTGAAACCACTTCTGAAAGTACTGAATCACTTCAGAAAATCTCGGAATATTTTTCAGAAAGTATTGAATGACTTATGAAAATTTCTAAATCTCTTTGCAAAAGACTTAATCTTTCCTGAATGTTTGTAATCGGTTCGGTAAGAACTGAATAATTTCTGAAGGGACTGAATCACTTCACAAAACTTTGGAAAGTACTGTATTAAATCTCTCAAGTTTGCAATTACTTTCTCTATAACTGAATCACTTTGGCTGAGTTACTTCAGAAAAGTATGGAATCCCTTCAGAAAATATTTGATCACTTCAGGAGAATTTGAATCACTTTAGGGAGCACAGGTTCGAAATCTCTTTTTAAAATACTGAAGCACTTTAGAAAATCTCTAAATCAGTTTGAAAGTACCGAATTTCTACAGAAAAACTTCAGAAAGTACTGAATTACAGATAGTACAGACATAATTTAGCATGAGAATGATTAACCGCTCACGGTTGCTACTCCGTTATTACCAGGTCACCTGTATTACATAGAGAAGCAACAAACGATGCGTGGCACTAGCATCTGCAATGTGTAAAAACTGGTAGTCACATGCTTTACGATAGGTAATAACAGCGCCGGCCGCGTTCAAATGTAGGTCAATTAGGGAATGGATAGGAATATGTTGACCTGATTCTCGCTTTGTTGGAAACCGAGAAATCCTCCTCACTACCACGATTTTTTCAATACCTTTTCAACAGGATTCACTTAAGAGAGTATTGATTCTTATCGCTAAGCCATATTAGTAGCCAATTGTGACAAAAAAAAGTCTCGATTTTTGTAACATAGATGAAGTGCAGTCAACTCTCCACAACTAGATGTCCACTAACTCGATTTCGAGTTATGGAACCATAGTTAAAAAGAATGTCATGGCTACTGCGATAGCGAATTTGTATGTGATTGTTATTTTATAACTCAATGGTCCCTTAAATATCGAGTTGTATTGAGTGCACTGTAGTTATGTTTCCAAAAACGAGATCTATCTTTACTGGCATTACATTGCATTAGGAATGTTTGGAATCACTTTGGAAAAGTTCAGAATCACTTCAGAAAATACTAAATAACTTGAAAAAAGCTTAGGACATCTTTGGAAAGTAATAGACCAAATTTGGAAAGTAATGGAGTAATGGAGCTTAGCACGCACATGATCATTTCGAACAGTACTGAACTTTACAAAAGTTTTAAATCACTTCAGAAAAAAAATGTAAACACTGGATCCGTGTATTCAGCTCATAATATATTTAATAACTCTGAAAAGCTTCAGTTTAGTAGGGAAAATGCTGAATCGCTCAAGGATTGACTCACTTCACAAAGTGATACTTTTTTTTGTTATTGATTTATCTTTTCGGGAGTAATGCCACGAGCTCTTGGGAACGCCTGAAACATGAACCAGATATAAACGTAAAAACTTGGCACTGAAACAGTAAACGTATTGCCTATTAAGGTTTCCAACGGTAACATCAATTGTAACAGCACAAACATCTCTGGTTGATATTTCAAAGATTTGCGTAGTGTATATTAGGTACCTATGTTTTCATTGAAATTTTTTTGGTTTTTGGATTTAAGTATAATCATATCCATAATCTTGCCCTTATTAAGTCTCAAACTTGAGGCTTAAGAAGGGCGACCAATTGCCTCGGAGAAAGCATCGATAAAGTGCAAATGTTTTACAACATACTATATCATCTAGATAAGACACTATTTGAAACAAAGTCATCAACATCAGGGGCGGATGTTCAGAGTCTTCCTTTTCTATGCCACAGAATCGACACATATCCTCTTGAAGTTTTCCTTTTAACTTCAAGTGATATTTACATGGGCAGTGCCCTGTTATAAGCCAGTATAGACACTGAGATCTTTCTTTAATAATTCAAGAATTTAGCTAGTCATTGAAATATTCGGAATTATGAACCGTTTCGACTGCCTAGCAATGGAAGTGTTGTTCCAATTGGTCTCCACTTTCATTTTTTTTTTTTTTCATTTCTTGATCTCCATTTTAAGAGAACAAGTAGAAACTCCACAGAATGGCTCTGGTCCTATGAATTGCAGTGATGATCCTAGCCTGGCTAACGTGTCGGCTTTTTCATTCCCTTCAATTCCACAGTGGCCAGGAACCCAATATAGGTTTACTTGGTTTTGACAGGCCAATTTCTGAAGTGACATTGCACATTCCCATACAAGTTTTGAATTGCATGTTGCTGATTATAAAGCATTTAATGCTGCTTAACTATCAGACATAATGCAGATATTCGAATGTTTATAATTTCTGCGCAAGCACATTACAGAGCATTCAAGATTTGCTTGAATTTCTGCCTGGAACACGGTTGGCCAGTAACCCATAGATATTGAGATATCTATCCTTGGACGAGCTTCCCCTGCTCCCACACGATTGGTCCCTGGACCCTGGATTTATGTTTGGTCCACCACTTTTCCAAACATTACGATAAAATTCTGCAGCAATGTATAAACGATCGAAATTATATTTTTTTTTTGCTCCATCCAATCTTTATGTTTTAATACAAGAGAATCAATATCAAACATTTTTAGAATACTGTGTCCTGTAAGATCTCCTTCAAGAAAGTACATTGTTCGTTGATCCCTTAAAGTTCTCCTTTCAGCTTCTAATTGGATAAATTTATGGAACGGAAACAGTTAAAGTAGAGCATCTTGTGACATACTCGGTGTGCTGTTCATTGCCCCAGTCTTTGCAATCTCCCCAGCTTCCTCTGAGGCAATTTGTCATCAGTTTTCTGCCACCAAACCAATGATGTGTAGTATATTCTGGGTCTTACAATCGTCAAATAAATCCAGTGGATCATTTTTGGTTTTAGGCCCCATTTCCTACCAAAAGTTGTTTTTACTCATCCTAA